GTAACATGAACATACATTATTCAAACTTTAGTCTAATCTAAAATTTCTTTATCAAGTTTCAATTAGTTCTTAAATCAGTTAATTGTTGGCCGAATAATCAAAAGCATTAAAAACAGATTTGAATAAGTAAAACTACATCCATTCATAGTAAATAAAAAAGAAACTAATATTCAAACTTCATGTTGAATCTACCACAATCTTAGAAAAATAGTTTAGCTAATAATATCTAATAACATCTAAACAAATTTAGCCATGAATCTTAATCAAAGAAAAAAAAACATATAAATAGAGAAAGAAACTAAGTGTTGAAGCTTTGCAATTTCGATTCTCTCTCAAATTCTGTTGCTTTCTTATTTTGTTCTTGGCTCCATATCTTCAAAGTAGTTGCTTACTGCCTCACCTTTAAAACCTCTGAAAAATGTGGCTCTAAGAAACCTAATTTTCATAATCCTATCAAATTTGTATTATTAGAAAATCACCTGGTGCTGTAGTCATTTTTTTTGGAATTGCGGTACTGAATTTTTGGCCCGTGGCTCTCTAACCCTAGGAAAATGTATGGTGCACTTCCTTTCACCAATGTCACAACCTTGTTTTCTAGTGCTGCAACCTTGGCTTTCTCAGCACTTTTGCCTCATTTTCCAGTGTTGTAGCGTTTCTCCACCTATTGCTTTGTGCAAAACTGCAGCAGTCAAGGATTTTCCAACATAATTTTCACTTTGATATGATCCGAATTGGATAAAGTAGTAAACATGAAGTTTTAGTCCTATCTCTTAACTTTCCAATGACTTAAGAATTACATCAATTGGATTACTGGAATGAAAGATATGTATCAAATATCACACCATATTCAGTCTATGCATACTACTGCAGTAGCCCGAGTTAGACAAATATTTTGACTATGATTCAATCATAACTGATTTAAGTGGTAAACATAAAAGTTATAGCCCTTACTCTCAGCATTCTAGTGGTCTAAGAATCACTTAATTTAGAGTTCTTTATTGGGAGATATGATCAAAATATCAAAATATATACAAATGAAGTGATCATGATATTTATATGGATTTTTTTCAAATGATCTTTTTTTCATTAAATTTTTTACAAAAGCAATAAAAAAATCAACAATAACTACTCTTAAAGTAATTTAAAACAAACTAACATAAAATTAAACTACAATAATTTAAATTAACTACTCAACATATAATTACACTTAAAATAAAAAAATACTTAAAATTTTAAAATTCGAACTTAAAATTTCAATGATCTAACGATTTAAATTTTCAAAATACGTCAAAATAACTTTATATGATAGAATTATCACTTTGCTAGGTCCTGGTCCTACTGATTTTTTTAAGTTAGAGAAAAATTCACTCATGATATATGAAATTATTCTCATTGCCTTTCAAAAAAAAAATTAAAGAGTATATGGGAGTTCCTTACCACGTATAAGAGATAAGAAATTATCTAATAAATGCGCCTACTCCAAAATTCCGTACAACAATTTGCGGATTATTAAAATCAATGGGTCTTGGGACAAATAAATGGTGATTTTTTTTTGAAGCAACATAAAAGAAAGGAAGCATTTGCACTCTTATTGGCGACAATAACGAAAGGCTTATTTTCATTCAAAATGCTTATTTTTATCGAACAAAAATAAAAGGGAGAACTGAGGTGAGGTGACAATGGCATGGACATTGACATTGTCATAATGTGGTCTGTTGCGGCTTGGTTTTACAATTTCTGAGATCATCAGCCACTTGGAAATCCTAAGGAACGCCACATGCCTCTCTATTCACGAGTCATGTCTAACAACGGAAGCAATACCTTGATTTTTCAGACAGAAAAGCCAAAAGAACTCTTCCTTTTTTTTAAAAAAAAAAAATCCAACAAGTTCTGATTTATAATAACTGGCAAATAATTCTTGGATATAGAAGCTAGCAGACAGAAGAAAAGAACCATTTTAAACTATTTAAGAAACAAGTAGAGGAAAAAGACAGCAGAAATATAGTGTTATTCTTTCCCATAAACATGGCAACATTATAGTAGTTTAGGATATGAATCAGAGGCAGTGCATGTCAACATTGTGTACGTAGGCATTAGCACTATGATGTCAAATATTTAATATGCCAGCACAAAAGTTGCATGTAGAGGCTCGAGTGGATTAGTTATGCTCGATTCAATTATTTTCAAAATATTCTCTCCCTCTCTCTCTCTTTTCATCACAATCAAATAATTTAAAACAGAAAATTTTTTCTTTCTTTTATAATTATTTAGAAAACCTTTATCATGTAAGACAAAAAACATTTGTAACTTGTTTCAAGTATGAACTCTACCCAGTTTCCTTATTTTAATGACAAGAATTTGGTTTCCAAAATTTTGTCAAGGCCCATGGCTATGTATAGAAGTTTGTAATCTTCTATACTTGCCTCGAAGAAATTGATAAGAGAGAAAAAAGAACTAAATAAAAAAGCCAAAGTTTACCTCTGTATTTCATTTTCATACCGCAGTTACTGACACGAGTAAATGTTAAAGAAAAAACTGTCATAGCCGAAGACACCAGACAATTTCTCGGAAAGAACTTGAAAATTGTAGGCCCGTGTCCAGGTTTGGTAATGACTAAGCAGCTGCAATATTGTCAACGTAAGGTGGCTTATATTTTTGCACCATTTCTGTCGGGAAATGAGCCTGAGCGCAACTCGTCAAACCGTGATAGGGATTGGCAAAAAAGGAAACAAAATTCTTTTAAAATATCCTCCAGGCTAAGGTCTTCAAATAGAAACACCATGACGTTCGAAAAACTTGGCTTGTCACTATACGTTTGGAGGAGCATCACTCTGCAGTGGACAGATGAATAACCAGGGTCTGATGAGTATCCATGTTTGGAGGAAACATTGGAATGAATTGCATCCTTGTCTATAGAAATTATTCCAAATAGCTATACTAAATAAACCACGGCTATAAGCGAAATAAATACAAGTAGCTAGCTATTGACCTTGTGCCTTAAGTGCAGGTGCTAATTAAAGTTTGGTGATGCGCCTTACTCTCATTCCAGCTGGTATTTCTAATTTTATTTGTTTACAACCAGACGACATATTTTAAACAGGAAAAATAACACAAGCGTAGACTTCCTGTCATCACTTTTTCTTATTGTTTCCTCCCAAACAATTTTATTACTCCTATTTGGTGAAATTCACATGAAAGGGAACAAATTCAAGATACAAAAGTGAGGGTAAGAACTAACAAGTGTAAACATTATTAGCTTCAACAGTAAAAGAAAAAAAAAACCACGTGTTCTCTAATCCCATTAAATTTAATATCCATATCAGTCATCTAATTATGTAAATTTGTCAAATTATTTCAACAAATTCTTAACCAACTCGAGATGATTTCTGGAGCTGAATGACTTAGAACTCTATTATTTTATCTAAATATTAGTTGAGGACATTGGCTTAAATCTTGGCAAAGTGCGAGACAATTAATTGCTTGGGGACCATTGGTTAAGGTATTAGCTTTGGAGAAGATCACTAAGAGGTAAATCGTTTGCTTATACTTTCATCTTTTTCAATGTTGCTGTCACTCTTTGTCTGTTTTTGAAATTCATGAAGCTGCTTAGTCGAGGATGCGATACTCAACATGTCCATATACTTTAAGTAAAAAAGTGACAAATATTCGGAAATTATGACCAAAGGAGCTAGCTCACATTTCAATGAACCAAGTTTCTTTAACTTGTTCCATGACCATGGCACCATTGTCACGGTAACATCCCCAAAATTATTGCCTACTACAATAAACAAAATTAATGCGCAAATCATATGCATTTCAAATCGCAATGTATTAAATAATCTAAATTCAAAAATAAAAAAAAATAATAGTGCACATTTTAAAATAAAAAATTAATGTCTCTTTAACATTTCTCTCTTACGTTTGGGATGCTTATGAGTTATGAGTCACTATCCACAATAACTTTGCGGTCCAAATCTCTCTTTGCTGATCACTGAGGGAGCAATTATTTACTTGCTGAAGTAAAACGTGGAAAAGGATATTGATGCAACCTTCGGGTGTAATTATTCTTTTACACTATACTTGTTAACTAGTAGTATTTCATTCCTTTCTCTTCTTTTTCCATTGCACGAAATCCAGAAGATCATTTCGTAGCATGAGGCATCAAAAGTAGAGACTTCCCGTCTCCTAAAATGGGTGTTTGATGCCGTCAGTGACTCCACTTTAAACAGCACCAAAAAGCACGTATCAAAATCCATGAGAAAGGTTCAAGGAAAAGGTTGTTACGCCCTAGGCTATGGGGTCCAGGAACTTTCACAATTTGTCTTTTTTTCCCCCCAGTAAACCCGTATGCTATGTTTACTCTTCTACTGTTTCAAAATACCATCGCTCTCCAGCTGTCTCTCTCTCTCTCTCTCTCTTTCCCCCTTGTAGACTTTGGAAAGTTCACTTGTCTTTTGTTTTTTGTCTTTACCGAAGAAGAGAGGAGAGCCTGATCTGAATCAGGTACCAAACTATCAGCCTATAGAAGTGGTGGAATAGAAGGGTCTGTAAGAATGGGGATCGGAGAGGAAAAAACAATGGTCCTAAAATAATGCTAAAAGATAATCCAATTTCCTAATACACTATCTCTAAGCCAAATAATTATGGATTTGTTCTCTTCTGAAGATTATACACATTTTCTAAGTTTAAGGAATTAAATGGGCATTGGGGTTGATGCATCAAAGGGTTCCTTTTTAAGTCAACCCCTGGAAGAGCCTTCTATTTGATAAATTCTCGACAAAACTCACCTTACTAAGAATTTTTAACCATAGACAGATACAGGAGATTTTATTTTTCATCGTTGCTTTTTTTATTTTGCAGCATGAAAGCGATTGGCTATGCTGGATTTACACAATAAGATCTAATCTCATTTATTTTCTGCTCTGTTGGGTAGATTTATTGGTTCCTATTTTTTGAAATTCGCCTTCTGGCACCATTTATATCTACCCTTTAAAAACATATTCAAGTCTTCTTCTCCTTCTCTCTCTCTCTCCCTCTGTCTGTCTCTGTCCTCTTCTTGTTCACTCCCTCTCTTGCTTTTGACTTGCAGCTTCTAATTCACTAAAAGGAAACGAATGTTAACCATTGAGTCTTAACCAGAAAGACTTGCAAATCCTAGCAAACTTTTTCTACTGGTTTTGTCATTATGGCTGGGATATGTTTTTCTTGGTAATCACAGATGGGATCCTTGTTAGCATATGATTCAAGCCTAAAGTTTCAATCTCGGTAAGTTCTCCCCATCTTTTTCCAGAAAATACAATGGACTGGATTTTCCATGAAATTAAGCAAAGAAGCTTGCTTTCTCCATCAGAGCAGCCATATTATCTCCCTCAATCATCACCATTAATGCCTCCACCGCAAAATTTGCGTTCTGATAGTTTCAATTTGAATAACAAGGTTAGTCCGAGTATATTACTCATCATTATAATCCTAGCTATCATTTTCTTTGTTTCTGGTTTGCTTCACCTTTTAGTTAGATTTCTTTTAAGACCTCCCAATAGAGAGCCAGAAGATATAGACAATGTGACTGCTCTTCAAGGGCAGTTGCAACAACTATTCCATCTCCATGATGCTGGTGTTGACCAATCTTTTATAGATACTCTCCCTATTTTCCACTACAAAGCCATCATAGGAGTAAAGAACCCATTTGACTGTGCTGTTTGCTTGTGTGAATTTGAGCCTGAAGACAAGCTTAGATTACTACCAAAATGCAGCCATGCCTTCCACATGGAGTGTATTGACACTTGGCTTTTGTCTCATTCCACATGCCCTCTGTGTAGAGCTAGCTTACTCCCGGATTTCTCTCCAAATAATAGCTGTTCACCCATTGTTCTTGTTCTTGAATCTGGGAGTGAAAGCTCAAGAGAGATTGTCACTGATAGAGAAGGTGCTCTAGGCAGAACCAATTCAGTTGTGAGATCAAATTCCCATCTGGGTCTTTGTCGAGACATTGAATTGGGGTCATCCCAGCGTAAATCATGTGAAATCCTGGAAAAAGATGAAGTCAACCCAACAGTGGCGGTGGATTCTGGGGAAAAAGTGGTGCCTGTTCGGCTAGGAAAGTTTAGGAATGTTGATGGTGGCGAAAGCAGCGGTAACAATAATGTGGATGCTAGGAGGTGTTTCTCAATGGGGTCCTTTGAGTATGTAATGGATGAGAATTCTTTCTTGCAAGTGCCAATTAGAACCCCAATGAAGAAACCATCAAGCAAGAAGACTTCTTTGCCATTGACACCCGGTCACCGCCCAGCAATGTCTGAATGTGATTGTGAATCAAGACGAGGGTTCAACGGTTTTGAAATCACGAGAAACTTTGAGACGAATGGGAGTTCTAGTGCTAGTGACAACAATGGCAAGGCCATTGGTAAGAGCAAGAAAGAAAGCTTCTCAATATCGAAAATTTGGCTTCGGGGGAAGAAGGACAAGCAGAATATTACAGAGGATTCATCCAGGAGGGCCTTTTCATTTCGATTTTCGGTGCATCAGAATGTTGCTGCTACTGCTGCTGCTGATGATGATAGCATGAAGGTGAATGGTATTGCAGGTGCCAGGGATGCAATCTCTGAGATAGACTCTGGCAGGTGGGGAAATGGAGGGAGTGAATTAGGTTTTGACGAGGAAAATCAGAGCTGCTATAGCTTAGATTCACAAGCCAAAACACCATCTTTTGCGAGGAGGACTATACTGTGGTTAGCTGGGAGACAAAACAAGGTTGTTCACTCATCCTTTACACCGAAGGTCTAGTTTCTTTCTTTCTTTCTTTTTTCCCTTTTTTTTTTTTTTTCCTTTGGATTCTTTTTCTAGAAAAGTTCTCTTTGATTTCTTCATTGAGAAGGCAAAATTGGATGATCGTGTAGTAGGAAACGGAAAGAGAAAAGCAAGAAGAGAGAAAACGAAAAAGAGAGGAGGTTCTATTGAAAGAAATCTTGGCACAAAATTTTACTCATTTCCTTCCTGTTGGCTGTTCAGCACAGTACATTAGGATGTCCAAATTGATTATCATTTCATGGTTTGTCTGCATTCTTTTGTCTGTTTCAAACCTTACGCTTTTCAGTGTCTTCTGGGTTCTACATTCCACATTCTTTAACAGAAATTATTGTTTTTGATATAACAAAACAGGCTTAAAATAAATTTTATGTTGTGTGATTGGATTTTTTTTCAAAGGAACGCTGTAATAGGAGGACCGACTTTTCCTTTTTCCTATGCTATTTTCTTTGTGCGGGTTGGTTCCTAAAGATTAAGTCATCGTAGTACTTGTTTGTCTGTCAAGGGTGGTTGTGGAGGATGAGTTGCTTCAGATTTTTTTATGGCGCTTATAAATTAGATTTGGACATACGTTGTTGGATGTCATTTTAGGCTACTTCTCTTTGGTTTTACTTTTTAATCCAAGATATTACGAGTGTGGTCTCAATTCAAACCGCAAAATAAGCCCAAGTGGCAATTCTACTTTTTATGCTTAGTAATCTTCCTTTAATGCTGAATGCAACCTGTTATCTAATCTTAAAGACCGAAACGCATGTGCTTGGGCTGCCAGTCGCAGATACTTTTCTGAATCATCAATTCCTTTCTTTTTCCAGTTTTGTTGTTAGGTAACAGCTACCCGCGGGCATCAGATGTAGAAAAACATAAGAAATTGGTAAGGCTTGAGGACTTTCAAATGGTTTGGGCTTTGAATTTTATTGTTCTCAAAGAGAAAGTGGGAAAGAAAAAAAATCCAACCATTTCCTCATTTATTTGCATAATAAATTCCATTATTCAACATAATTATCCGCTAAACAGGATCAACCCAGGGGCTTATAGGCCGCAATGAGAAATGAATAATAATAATAATAATAAAAGGTTCAGCTAATTGAATATATTAGATTCTTCAATAAATAGCTCATCCAGCACAATAAATGTTAGTAAGTGGGAATACAAATTGAATTTGAGAAATGCACGCGACCCTTCCCGTTTTTCATCCAATTTCTTGAATTTGAAAGCATAGCAGCAGAAATTGGCTAAGACTCTGTCTACAGCTGTTGCATTTAATAGAGGCCCAAAGGCCGAAAGAAACAAATCATCTGTTAAAGATTGCAGCGATTGAGGGAAACTAAACATTAATGGCTGATGTTAATAAGGTCACGGGAGCCGTTGAAGGGCCATTTTCTAGCATTATTTGTCATACCTAACACCATTTCATGTGAACTTGTCCCATTGTGTAAATGTGGACTTTTATTGCAACTTTAAATTTGTGAGATGTGTTAAATTAAATAGTCGGGATTGGTGATATTCAGAAAAGTTTTTATATCAAGTAGAATTATTGAGTGTTTATTGAAGTTTATCAATAACATGGGATGAGAGATGTTATAAGACAGATCTTAATTATGGACAATAAAATCGTTGCATAAGTGATTCAAATGGAAATAAATGAACTAATTGTTAATTCAAATTTAACTTTGACTATTAAAGATCTCTTAAAAAACAAATAACAAGTCAGTATCATATTAATGTGTATTATAAATTTAATTATTTAATAATTTTTTTATAAATATAACTTTTTAATATTTTATTGATACTCTTATAATTGTAATTTAATTTTATTAAATGATATTATAAAAATTTCATTCTCACGTATTATTTTGACGTAAAGTGTATTTTTTTTTAACCTTTTATGAGGTTTGCTCGTATCAAATCTTGCTTTGAGGGATTCAAGTTTAGCATGTAGAAAAGTCCAGGATTGTTGCATCAAGTTTCTGTAAGCCAACGGGAATTGGGCCCAAAGACCCTAAGCCCTGCCTCCTTGCTCTATACGGTAACCTGATTTTGTTTTCTAGTAATATTTTTGGCTAAATATTTCAAAACTTGAATTTAATCTTTATACTAACAATTAATTAAAGATAATAAAGTTTGGTTCTTCCATTTCATTGAAATTTCATCTCTTTTGATCAATTAGGAAGATTGACAACGAGAGCTACTCTACTTTAGTACCCCCATTACGATTGTTATGTGATTAAAAAATTTTAAAAATGTTAAAATTTTAATATAAAAATATATTTTAAATATTTTAATAATAAATATACGGTTGAGAAAAGTCAAGCTTTAACCTGGGATTAGATTTTCGATGGGCCTCACCTATCTTGACCGGACACATGTACACTTTTAATCTATACCATACGATAGATAGTATGGTCACGAGGTTCCAATTGCTTGACACTTTGCAGCCTAATCAGCTACCATTTTCTTGCACAACCTTCAAAACGATTTTTCAGTAACTTTTTTATTTTTTATATAAAAAAGAGTTGAAAATGATATTTCAAAAGAAAGAAAAGAAAAAAAGAAGAGAAATTTTGATTTTATATGTTTTTTATGATAATAACACATTACTTGTTCATTAATGTCTAATTACATTATTTAAGTGTATAAAATAAAGTTTAAATCCCGTAATAAAATTATTGTTTGAAAGCAAGTCAAGAAGCTTGCTGTGTTACAAGAATGATTAATTAGTTAAAAGAGCAAAGAACAAGGGATTAAGTAAAGTCAGAATGATGTTAACTGATTAACATGGAGCTTTAATCAATTAAGGTAGTGATGGACGCTACACTTAAGAGAAAATAGAAAAGCTTTAATCAGTTAGTACAAAGTTTAACTAATTAAGGAGAAACTGGGCATAAAACAAAAAGTTCTTAATTGGTTAACCAAAGGGCTTAATTGGTTAAAGCTCAAACTTGAAGTATCTAGAAGCGTCAAAATTCAAATTCAAAGTAATATTGATTGTCAAAGGGCGCCAAATAAAAAAAATTCAAATTTGAAGATTTGTTAGTCAGTTAGAGCCTACTTCAATTAGTAAAAGTTGAAGAGAGATAAGCTTTAATCAGTTAAAAGGAAGACTAATTAGTTTAAAGAAGGCTGGTGAAGAATGTTGCTTAAAAACAAAAAGTCTCTAATTAATTAAAGTCACTGTTAATTGGTTAACATAGAGAAGCGGACTATAAGCTAGAGAAGGTTTAATCGATTAAAGCCTATCTTTAACCGGTTAAAGGTTCACTGCTAGCACATTTGAATTTAATTGCTAGAAGACAAAATAATGGCTAGTAATAGCTGAAAACTATCTCTAACAGCAAAAAATGTGTCTTCTAAGTATTTAAAGGGCCTCCAACGGTCATAAATGAGATAGAGAACCTATCAAGAGTTTGAAAAGAGCTTATAAAAGTAAAAACCTTATTTTTTACACTTGTATTCCACTCTTATCTTTAAAAAAGTGTTTGAGCTTGAACTTATACTTCTTAGATCAGTTAGATGATCATTTGTACATCATCTTTTTCTTATTTCTTAGTTGAATATAGTGTGTGAGGTACTTTAAGGATTATTGTAAGGGTTTAGGGCTTAGGTTAAAAGCTCATCTTGTAAAAGCGTGGTAGGAGTTGCTAATTTCACTAGTTTTAGTGAAATTGGGTTAAAAATCTTTGATTGAAAGATAAAAGTAGTGGATGAACGACATGTAGACCAAATCAATATAAATATTGTGTTTTTTTTCATTTCTCTTAACCTCTCTTTACTTGGTATTTACTAACTTTAACAAATTCTCAAACCATCCATCTCAAAATCTTTCAAACTATTTTAAATTCCAAAGGTTGTTTTCAAAAATATTTTTAAGTGCAATTCATCCCTTTTAACATTTCTTTTGAGATCAACAACTGATATCAGAACCTCACCCTTTGACTTTAACGCTTAATATCTTTAGGTGAAGGTCCAAATGACTACACGAAACACTAATGTGGTAGAGGGAATATTTATAAATAAGCCTCCTCTATTTGATGGATCCAACTATCAATATTGAAGCACTAAGATATCTATCTACATTAAAGCTGTTGACTATAAGATGTGGGATGTTATCACCAATAATCCTTTTCATCCCCACTAGCACCAACTTAATTATAAATGAGAAAATTCCTAAATATAAAGAAGAGTGGATTAAGGAAAAAAATGAGAAAAGTCCAAATAAACTTCAAAACCATTAACACTCTTCATTGTGCTTTGGCCCTTGTTGAATTTAACAAAATATTTGGTTGTACTGTAGCAAAAAAATTTAAGAAAAACTTAGGATTATCCATGAAAGGACTTTTCAAGTTAAGGAGAACAAAATCACCTTTTTCACTCTTAATAATGAGATGTTCAAAATGGAACTTGGTGAAGACATAACCACCATGTATGACCGATTCACCACCATGTATAATCAATTCACCAACATAGTCAATAAGCTCAACCAACTTGGGAAGGTGATACTTGAACATGCGTTTGTGAAAAAGTTACCTAGAAGTCTAACAAAAAGTTAAAAACTGAAAGTTATTACTATTCAAGAAGTTAAGGATGTTAACAAAATCAACCTTGAAGAAATATGTGACTAATTCTCACACATAAACTAGAAATGAAAGAAGAAGAAGAATAAAAAGAAGACGAAGAAGAAGAAGAAGAGAATGAGGCCAAGGCGAAAAAAAATTCTTTCATTAAAAGTGAGCTCATTTCAAGAAGAATTGGAAAATGTCACAACTGATGATGATGAAGAGTTGGCCATGATAGTTAGAAGACTTAAGAAGCTCATAAGACAAAGAAACAAAAGATTTAGAAGAAGAAATCAAAGAAAGGATCAAGGTTCCTTATGAAAGAATAAATACAAGATTTCCTTATGAAAGAATATAGACAAGATTGACTTCAACAAAAAGGATAAAGTGGTGTGCTTTGAATGCAAAAAACTTGGCCACTTTAGATTCATATGCCCATTGCTTAAGAAAGAATCCTTAAAGAAGATCAAGAAACCAAAAAAGGTAATGGTCGTGGTAACATGATTAGATAGTGATGCTTTAAGTTTAAACGACGAGAAAGAAAAAGTGAAAGAAAGAGCAAATTTTTGCTTGATGGCAAAAGATGAAGAACTTGAGGTAACATTTAACTTATGTGATATTTCATATG